ATAGAAAATGAATAAAAAGAAAAGAATTAGATATAGCCCTAGATTCTCCACATTTATTTTTCAATAAACCTTTCACTTTTCCAAAAAGTGAGCTTATTCATTAATGCATAGAACCACAAGTATTTCCAATATTGTACCCAAACTTTAAAAACTCAACGCTAATCTAATATTTGACTCAGCTGATCTGAAACAGAATTTAATCGGTTTAATTCCGTACTTTATCAAAATATTTATAATTATAGAACAATGAAAGGTTTAAGATATTTACATATAAATGTTTGTAGTCAACTGTCCTGCATTAACCTATTACACATGTAAGCAACGTGCGAGCAGCCATTGATCTTTCTTATTCCATGAGGTGCATGATACATATCTGTAGCACCACTTAACGACTCAAAAGGAATAATCATTCCCTCTTCATAACTCACTTCATATCTAATTATCTATATGCAAAGGTCATGAATCATTGGGTAGGTAGCATCATAATCTAAACCAACTTCTAATTCCCATTATCACAGGCCCATCCCAAGCCTAGCACGGATGGATCATGGAGATGGGTAAAGACGGTCGTTCTTTTAAAAATTTTAAATTTTTATATCTTTTAGATTTTTTTTTATATTTTTTGATTGATAATATGTTTTTATTCTCCTAAAATATTATATATTCATTATTTAACATAAAGCCTTACGTCTGTTCTTGAACTTATCCCCACTCATGTATGGTTCCTAGTAATTACAATCTCACGATCAAAACACTTGAAGGAATTTATACAAACTTGCCCTTATATATGTGTGTGTAAATAGCTAGTTCACCTGTCTTGCTCATCCCACAACTTCAGCAAAGGAAGAAAACCCATCATGGCTGCCTTCAACTATATACCTTTCTTTATCATCTTGATGTTATTATTTCCGACCTTCGAGTTGAGAACCGTTTCTGCGATTCGAATAACATCTTCAAACGAAGGGGCCGGTGACATGCCCGTAGTTCATAATGTTGCAACCCATGAACAGAAAGGAATTGCTTTCGGTGTTCTCAGAAAAGGTCGAATAACGCCTTCCGGTCCGAGCCACAGGGGCAATGCTGTACCCATTGAGAGAAAAGTGGACACTTTAAGCTAATTTAGGTGCGAAGCCGATGTAAGTTTTCTACTTGTTGTTGGTTGAACTTTAATTTTTGTTTACTGTTGTAGTTTGTTTGGCGGGTGTTTTGGATTCCACCTGAATCAAAATTCAGAGTATTATTAGTGCTTCATTTGAACTAATAATACTCGTTCACTTTAGTTATTTTGCTGAAGCTTCCTGGAAAGTCTATGTGGAGATAATGTGTCAGACTTAATGAGAAACAAACCACCTTCTTTCTCTGCTACTTCATTTTGTTTTCCTTTATCTTGTTTCTTTCCCAAAGTCGAATTCGTCTGTTAGCTGTCCCGAATTTCAATCGATTAATAAATTTAATTTCATTAATTTTAAATATAAAAAACTAAAATTAATTAAAGTATAATAAATGACGGTTGATCAAAACCATGTTTCTTCTATTGGATCCCGAGTCATCTTTGCTTGGCAACAGCCGACAACTGCATTACATGTATAATCTTTATATATACGCGCAATGAAATCTTAAATTGCATGCACTATAACATTGTCTTATAATACCTCCGGAATTGATTAATAACTCCAACAATTTTAATTATTGACGTCACCTTGGCCTTCCCTATAAACCTGTAAGACGTTTGGTTTAAAATAAATATCTCGCTTGAATGACAGCCACTGATAAGTGCTGACAAATCTTTTAATTTATTTTATTCGATTTTTTAATTGTAATTATTAATCGATTATTATAAAAACAACTGAAATATTTTAATAATACCAACTTGGGTTCAATCCCTCAACGACTCCTTGTTTTATTATTTTATTATATACCAGATATTATAAGCTAAATTATTAACCATTAGTGAATTTAATAAGATAAAATGGTAAATAATTTAAATTCTATTATTATAAATGGAACAATTTTAATTAAAAATCTTTTTTATAATTATTTTTTACAACAAATAATCAATAAATTAAGTATTAATGATTAAATATAAATTATTTATTTTTTAATTTAATCCCTAAAATAAACGATAGAGTTTGGAATTTCGGAGTTTTTTTTATCATTACAGAAAGCAAAGCAAATTAATTACTGTGAAAAAAAATTAAGAAATTCCAAATATAAGAGATTCTTTAAAAATATAAAAATGATTCTTTTGGAATTTCGTATATGGAGCTAAACGGTACCGGATGGAACCAACTGCCCTCCAACTTGCTAGTTGATAGTTTTCCACGTGTCAGCAGATTTCAACTTGTGGACACAAACGAGCACTCCGGCAACTCGCCCAGCTCGGCGAGGAACGACTCGTCCTCTTCCCTCATCAGGAATATCACCGCCGCGTCATCCGCTTCACCATTATCCCTCTCCGCAAACAACGTGCTCTCCAAAACCGTTGACGACGTCGTTTCCATCTCCCCAAACCAAGCGAATTCATCCTCCGTCGTAAGAATCGAATCGTCCGTCAAACCAGGGAAGCTATCTTCCATCCCTGATTCCGTCTCCGGTTCCGCATCCTGCTACGACGAAGACGGCTCCTGCTTTACAACTGTCGTAGCTTTGTGCGCTGTATCCTCAACTGCTGCCGCCGTCGCCGTCCCTTGTTTAGCGGCGGAATTATTGTTTCTAGAAGCGGGGCAAGGATGGTTATGTTTGCAAGAGTAAGTGATCACTAACACCGTAGGGTCTACACGGCTCCTCTCGACTCATTTCCTCGACGGACATCCCTTTGAGCTACTACACCGGTAATAACCTCTGCCGACCGGTGGCATAACGATCAAAAAACAAAATCCTCAATCCATACGTTTGAATTTTGATAATTATACATATATAACCCTAAGAGAAGTACTGGTAATTCTTCAGCTTAAAATGATTATTAAATTCCTGGGATAAGGTGAACCTTTGATTGGTTTTTGTTCGTATAATTAAGGATGTTGCAGATTTTGAATCCCTTTTGATCTCCACTTTTGATTTAAACCAACCGACAATGGAGTATGGACAAGGGAGTGTTGTTGATGACGATGTAAGAAATTCAATCAAATTTTGAAGTAAAAAAATGTATTCACCGTGATCCGACCAGATTCAACTCATATATCTCTAAATGTAGAAGAGATAATTATAATATTATTTTAAGTTATTTTTTATCAAAATCCAAATTTAATCTCATCCTTCAAAAAAAAATTAATTTGATCCGATTGAAATTTATTTTTTAAAAAATTAAAACTAACCCGACCAAATTATATTAAATCAAAATCTATCAAATTGAGATCAAATATATAACCCTGATTGTATCTCATAAAAATATTGTATTTTAACTTCAATATATTTTTAAGTACCCTCACTTATTTAAGCATCATAGAACGATCAGAGTATCAACTCCCATACCTCTTAACTTTACTTCTTATTTTGAGTTAATTGCATCATACATACTCAAACTATGATATTCTTTCTAAATTAGTCCCTAAACTTCTAAATATTTTATTTTTATCCCTAAACTATGACTATTATTCTAAATTTATCCTCAAACTTTTAACATTTTAGTTTCATCCCCAAACTATATTTGTCATTCTAAATTGGTCCCTAAACGTTTCCAATATTTCAATTTCATCCCAAATTATATGTATATACTAATCACGTTCCATGTTAATAAAAATTTTAGGCCAAGCTATATTTATATGTTTAAAAAATAAATTTTAGGTTAAACTATAATTAAAACTAATTACATATTTGGACGATTTTTGGGATGAAATCGGAAGATTTAAATGTTTGGGAACCAATTTAGAATGAGGGTCATAGTTTGAGGAATAAATTATAATATTCAAAAGTGTAGGGACCAATTTAGGATGAGAATCATAGTTTGGGTACATATAATGCAACTAACTCTCTTATTTTAGAGTCGCAAGTATAATTTAGTAATTTGGCAGTTGCTGCTTATGGGTTCTCCCCCAAAACATATAATGCGAACTCCATTTTCCATGTATAAGATAATGCGAACTGATGGTTACTATATTTAATTTTAAAAAATAAATAAAATATATGACAATTTTCAAATTGTTTAAAAAATATTTCATCACTCATAGTATTAAATAATAGTCTATAATATTAAGAACATAAACTTCCCCATGTCTTCCTATATTTTGAATTTATCTCTTGGAAACTCTCATAAATCCAGCATGTGTATACTTGTTAGACACGACTATATACGTAAATATATTTTATTAGAACTCGTTTGATATATGAAAAATATTATAATGTTTTTCATTTAAAAAAATATTATGATGTTTTTCATTTAAAAAAAATGTTATTGTACAAGTAACAATTTAATTATTGGTTAGATGATGATTATAATGGGATAATTACAACATCGAATTGAATTGTCTAGATCCATGTAACCCATTAAGGCATGGATCAAGTCGGTAGGCAGATCTAAAAATGCTTTTGGGATGAAACATATGTATTAATAATACAAAATTTTCGTATGAAATAACATAAAAGATTTAAGATAAATATAATCAATAAAAAATAATTAATAAAAAAAAATCAGAGTGAATTCATATCCACCAACTAAGGATGGATCCGCCACTCGATTAAGTTGAATAAACTTTGTTTTTATTAATTGCAAATTGAGGTTTAGACCTCTATTTCCAGCAACGTTGAATTAGAATAATTTGAAATATAGCATTAGTTCAACAATCCATTGTCGTCCAGTGGTTAGGATATCTGGCTTTCACCCAGGAGACCCGGGTTCAATTCCCGGCAATGGAACTTCTTTTTTATTCATATAGATCTGGATCTAAGATTGCTTCTAGTTAGAAAATAATTTAGACTCTTGTCATATCTCATTAAAATGAAAATCTTGAGAATGTAGCAAGGTTATTTGATGCAAAAACATTAACATTTTCATATCACATCAATCAATAAACTCCTCCTATGTTACAACCATTCCCACCTTGCTTTTCATCAATGGCCTTAAGAACAGCCATCGTAATATCTCTGATACCAGTTGCTTCTCCTTGAGCTACAACAATGGCTTCCATCGAAAACAAATGACTGCAAGAGACACTAGCTCGAACAACTTCAAGACCCAGTTCTTCAAACGCCTCTAGAATCCACACCAACTTGTCCCCTCCTTTGTTGCTGCAACTCACTTTAACCACATACTCTTCTCCAATCTTCTCCACTTTCACATCCTGCTAAGCTCCACCATGAATATATATAAACTTTAATGTCAGCATGAGAACTATATAAAGCATAAACCAAGTAAAGCAAATCACCTTTGGGATTTGTGTATGCTTCAATAGAGTGAAGTACTCGTTTCTGATAACCCTAAGGTTTTGGCACTCTCTTTGTAATTCTTCCAACTTGATTTTCAGCTTGTGAAAATGGAGAACAACATTTTTATTGAAACATCTCACAGATTTGCGGTTTGCCTGCAGAAGGTGAAGTTTTCTGCGAGATGCTGCTGCTGTTCTTCTCATTAGCTTAGTAACCATATTTTGTTTTGCCTCATTCTCTTTCAATGTGCAGTGGCCTAGCTTTTATAAGATGAAAGAAAGGGTATGTCTTGGAATTCAACATTTGTTTGCTAATTGTCAGATATTTAATTAGATAATGGGGATTATGGACATGTGACACAAGCTGTTGGAAAGTAGTAGTTGCAATGCTTAAGACATGGTAAGAGACAAAAAGGGTTTCATTGATTAAAAGGATGTTGCAGATTTTGAATCCCTTTTGATGTCCACTTTTGATTTAAACCAACCGACAATGGAGTATGGACAAGGGAGTGTTGTAGATGACGATGTAAGAAACAGGGGCGCCACTTGGGGTTAACGAGAAACACCAAAATGATGAAATGGATTATTAGGTTGTCATAGCTCGTATATTCCCTGTTTCGGTTAGCATTATTTGCATGGGAAAAGATGTAGGGGAATCTTTTTCAGATGATTTGAGGAGGTAGAGTCAGAATCAGACAATCAATCAAACCATAGGGACTGCCATGCCATGTTGGTTTGAGCCAGATTTCACAGTCTTTAAGGACCTCCATGCCTTTGCATGCTACCTAGTTGTGGCTTAGTAGAACACATGCTCTGACACTATTATTCTTTATCGTTCTTTCCTCTTCTAGGGTTCATAATATCCTCTCTCTGTAAATAAAAAATTCAGCTGTCTAAGCTTTTTCTGGGGTTTCAATTATCTTCAGTTCTTCACCAACCACAATAGAGATGTTTGATAAAATGACTGGAAAAGGCTACAAAGTGAAAGCCTGCTTCATACAGTGATGATGTCATACAGATTCTGCATACAGTGACACCAACTGGTGGGGTTTATCCATAGCCTACATGTCTGCAGATTCTTCAAAATTTAAAAAGAAAAGTGTATAAAGCTCTCCACTAATCAAGGGCAAAGATTTTCATGTCTTGTAATAATAGAAAGCTAATTGCCTTACATCTTGCAATAAGTGACCTTAGCTAGGTTAACAATTAGTTCGATATCTTTTAAATAAGATTTCAGATTTAGATCTTATGAAGGAAGAATATAACGTTTGAAAAGCTTCTTTTTAATTAGGATTCAATCTGACTCGACTCTAGAAGATGGAACGGTAAGAGATTCGAGTCTTTAATTGAGTACCAAGAAAAGGGCAGATCTAAAACATGGTAAAAAGTCTTTTATCAATGACAACACTTTGTCTGGTTCCCAATTTGTTAATCATTCTTTCACAAGCTTGCAGCAGAAACAACAACCATTTACAGATAAACGGCGAAAAAGGTATTTTACCTTGGATTTTAGTAGGTCCACAACTAAGTTGCTATTAACATGTACTAAATCGATCCAATACCTCTATCATATGGTTCATAATATACGGATTACGATGTTTTTATCTTAAGATATTTCAGTGGTGTAAACCCTACCTTTTTCCCCATCTGTTAATGTTTGTCCATTTGTGTTTGACATGTTCCTAACATATTGTGGAAAAGGAGGCTTTATTTTCTACCAAATTTTGTCTTGTTGTTGAAGCTGGTTTTGCATATTATCTAATTGTACATGGAATCAGGAGTCACATGAGCTAACTAAGCATGGAGCTCGCAAGCACAGCTATCAACAACTGCTTAGCCAAAACAAGGCTAATACCTTAATAGAAAAAGGAAAATAACAAGTCCTTGTTTAAGCATATTCGAAAATTTTAGGTCTTTATTCAACCGTTTTGAAAGGTTAGATCTTTATTTGAGCAGATTTAAAAATGTTACTTTTATATGATTATTCTGAAAGAATGCACTCTTATATAAAAAATCTTTCAAATATTATATCTCACCAACAATGAACAGTATAATTTCTCTTGGTGAGCCCTCAATAAAAAGATACTGAGAAAGTAAATATGTGGTGGATAGGGTAGCTAGTGATTTAAACAAAACCAAAGCTTATCATTTCTAGTAACCGAGTCAATAGTCTTGTTTGCATCCCGGTAAACAAAGGAGAAGAAAAGGACTAGAGAAACAACTTAATGTTATGTTCAATCGCAAAAGTTCTCCAACATTCAACCAAATCGGAAATGTTGAGATGAGAAATGGTGTGATGAAAATCAACTCGAATATAACATGTGGTCAACCATGATGCTTAGTGAGGAACTGAGGAAACACACTTCTGGGATCACCATGGCTTTTGAAACATCATCTGACGCCCATCATCGAAACTTTCAGGACAGACATAACTCAAACATACTGGAGATGGGGTTTTGACTGACCACTTGCCGGCAATAGAATTTTATTTTTGTTCAAATAGAGTATCATTCTTTTATTTCTTTTATATTTTTAGACAACCATGGATTTAGATAAATATAGAAAAAAGGAAACATAAGACAACCTTCATTTTCGTCCAGTGGTTAGGATATCTAGCTTTCACCCCGGGGACCCGGGTTCCATTCCCGGCAATGGAATTTTTTTGTTCAAAAATCAATCTGGATTGCTTTTTGATCATTAAAATGAAAATAATAGATAGAAAACATTGACATTTCCAATCATTAATGAAGTCCTCCCATGTTAAATTCGAATATTTTGGCCATCCAACCTTCCCTAATTATCTTTATAACTTTAAATTTTGAAGGGATTGAAGTTGAAATTTATCATCTATGAGAACGAGACTCCTGTCTCGGAACAAAATACTGAAAAGAATAACTCATTTCTCAAATGGCTTTTTCAATCTTTTACGGTTGAAGGCTAGGTGAGCCCTGTCAAAATAACTTTCTATATAGGTTTAATTATGCTGATAGTCCCTTTACTTTACCCAAACTAAAAATTTAATTCCTATATTAAATCATTCTCATATGTATATATATATATATATTAGTTTTACATGTAAGTGGATCCATTCACACGGTGTAAAATGATTTAATTTTATACTTCTTTTAAGATTAATAGATGAATGACAATAAATAATCTTAGATTAACAGTATGAAATAAAAATATATTCATATAAAAAAATTAAAAATATAATATCAACCGTATATTCCTATCCAACCATCTTCAAAAGCTTTACACTAAACAAAGTATAAGTGAATCCTAATCAAAATTGAGAGAGAGAGAGAGAGGTATATCTATTTGTCTTTTTTCCCGACCTTTGTTGAACTGAGGAGCTGGTTTATGGTGCTTCTTCGTTAGCCAGTTTTTGTGGGTGCTTTTGTGAAAGCGATGAAAGATCGCCACGTACATGATCATTGCTCAAGAACCAGAGCATCATCCTGTTTGAAAAATGTCGGCATTTATATACATAGATGCTTGCGAGCCTGTTGTTTCCTTGATTAACGTGGTGAATTATACTATCATATACACAAATGCATGCCTCAATCTACATGCAATCGCCATACTATATATAAATATATACAGCTTACCCATGTACCTATTCCATATAGATCAGAAAGATTATATATTCATTCATATATAATTAAGTATGATAGCGGATCGGATATCTACAATTCTTAATAGAACACATGAACGACAGATGTTACTATAAAAAAGAATGACATGTATCATATATGTCAGATGACCATGGTACACATATAAACCATATATTGCTACTAGTACTTTAAAATTGCATTAGTATAGTTATTATGACTTAATATGATAACAGAACAACAATATCTCTGGATTCAAAAGGAATAATATATTTTATCACTTATTTGATACCTGAAATGACAAAAAGAGTTTCTACCTGGGATATGCGTACGTGAAGCATTACTACACATGCATGAATATGAGTATAAGAATATATTATGGATATGAAAAGGGTATAAATAAGTGGCCTACATGGGCTCATCACCATATATGCATATTTCAGCTGCATTTGCGATATTACAGGGTAAAATCTTCACTGACAGTCAGCCACTCTATAAAGGCAGATGATCAGCTGTATGATAATTGCAGTGTGCCCTCTGCCAATGGAGATTTGCCCGGCAATTCCAGTACTGCAACACTATTGTCGTTCACAATACACCAGCTGCCATGTAGTTTTATTTGGCAGGGCAATTATCATTAGTTTGCACTACTTTTCTGCCTAAAGTGAACCGAAAACTCTCACAAATGTGCTTGTGTTTGCAAGGTTTGAATTTAATTTTCTCTCATATTTCTGCCTTATTTGCCATGGAACCGGATCGGTATACCCCGAGTTTCATTCCTAACAAAAGCTTTGCTCTTCTCTACTCATCAATCACCATGGTCCCCCAGTCTTCAATCTTCATTAGGCTCCTTCACGTTTACTTGTTCATTTCACTGAAATAAGGTCTTATAAAAGCAAGGTCCACATTATTGTTGATTAGGTTAAACCTCCTATCCTGATAAAGTCTGCATTCATAGTCTTTTTTACTGCAAAAAAAGAAAAAAAGAAAAAGAAAGAGCTTATGTTATAATGATGGATGAATACTGAAGAAGATTGCTGATTAGGAGAATGAGTTCATCGAGTGAGTGAATCGCAGGGAAACTCTCCTTTGGCAGAATCCGAATTATGCATGATCACAAACAATCAAACACGCATGAATACACGTAAGAACATGCAGCCAAGGAAGATAGGCAATGGAACATGCCACTGGATCGTCCTTCTGCTCTATGAATTTTCCTTTTCTCATACTTTTTTTCTGAAAGGTTGCTTAATAATCATTTTTGAGATAAAAGAGATACATTTATATTCGATGCTTCAATCCCTTTATAGTAAATTGGGTACCGCTTGTGAGTTGTAACCCTTAGAGGAGAGAAGGGGCCTTAAAATGAAGGACACCATTTATCTTTCTTTTCCTTCTTTTTGGCTTAGACATTGAACTATTATTTATTAAATTATTGGCAACTGATATATGGAGGAGAGGCCTCTGAACTCTTGCACGTCAAATGCATCAGCTGTAACTGATCAACTAGAACTCCCCTGCATTAGAGTCTAGAGATGATAAGCTTAAAGATGAAGCTACCCTAAACCATAGAGCGAGCCTACTACATGAAGATCAGTAAAGGTAATGAAAA